AATCGGTGTTGGTATAATAGAATAGTTTATTAAATCTACGTGGAGACGTTTCTTTTTTGAAGAGATAGACTGTAATTCTGTAAATACTATTCTGCCGTAACCTTCTCACACCATGTACTTCGGTTATATTCTTAATACCCGATAAAGATATAAGTTGGGTAAGACTGTAATTGTACCTTCTGATGGAATGAGCATACTAGTAGTTCCTCTATAGATAGAGAAAAAAGAGAGTACTTCATTAGTTATAAAATGAGCAGGCATTTAATAAAACCTATACAAAATGTCGTACGTACGTATCATAACCTCTTCTTCAAAGAATGGGACATCGGCATCGACGTATCTGGGTTCGATATTTTTGCGAAAAAACTTTGGATAAAATGCTAATGGTTATAGATGTGCCGTCTTGAATGACGATAGAAGCAGAATGTTGATAGTATTTCCAAGGTCCATTACGACCAGTGTAATGTCACTGATTTATTTTCCCAGTTGACAGATTAGGCCCTTTTCGACACGAACTATCTTTGTTCCGCTAATCCACGACTACTGAGTAATCGACAACCCGTTGGAGTGGGAATAATGATGTATGCTAGGTAAGCGAATTGGTCAACAAAGTTTAAGTGTTGTGCAACATAAAAAACATAACAAGAGACATACCGAATAAGTACTGGTGCACAAAAGCACTCTAGTAATGTTAGGTTTAGGTGGATTTCTTGTATTGGAAACGGACAGTGAACGCTTGAACAATATTATGACGGTTGTCAAAAGAACACATTGTTGAACACATCACGTGATGATAGAGAAAAGGATGTTTTCGGAATAGGATAATGGCGTGTTCTTTGTTTTCGGCTAGAACAGCTTTATAAATTTGATGCACTTGGTATAATCGTGATGTCATCACAATTTTAGTTTGCGGCTCAACATTCAACCGACAATGGAAGCAAATGTCTCATAGCCATGTGATTTTGATGGGCTCCGAAGTTAGGGCCGGTTATTCCGGAGATTACGTGTGAGAAAAGAAAAAAAAAATACATGTAATTCAATTAAATATCCGTGAACCTGCATGATAAACATGGCGCAGAGAGAGAATTAAATTTTTGTTGAAGTTATCGACTTGTTGGTGTGGTGTTGTCCTTTTTTTCTTTTTTTTTTTTCTTTTTTTTTTCCTCTTTGATAGCATGCCGGTCGGGTAACAATCATTTAAGTGATTCTGTGTGTGACATAAATGTCAAATATCATTATCATTATGCAAGTGAGTTTCAATGATACGATAGTCGTACTAGTGTTACTATACTGTGGGAAGGTCATTATTAAGTATAACGGAATATTCTGGAATAGTATTGATTGATATACATAAATATATAATATACAATAGATTGTGTAATATATTATATAATAAGATATCTGTTGTGTTGCTCCATCTTTGGTTAACGTTAATCATCAGTATAAATATATACTTTTATTTAACATAACCATTTATAGTAATCTGTTCTCAGTATATCATCGACTTTTATCATTGGCCAGTATTGAAGCGGTGCAACGCTCGTACAACAAAATATCATGAACGACATGTATGATAATCATACAGACGAATGCTATCACAAACAAAAGATAACGTTGTTATCAGCTAAAAAGAATTAAGCAACTGACACAAAGAGAGATTGGTCGGAATGCGTGTGTTCATCTCTCACATCGTGCATTAATACATATTAATTTTTATTGACATTGATGTGATTATTTTTTACTCGTCTCCCCTTCTTCGCATCAAATTGCGATTATCTCCGCCAGGGCAAGATGACAGATGTTGAGATGCAATCTATAACAACAACAACAACAACAACAACAACAACAACAACAACATCCCTTGCTTCATTCAGTGTTGTGTTCTATCTACACTTATTTTACATACATCCTCATCTATATCTATATCTATATCTATATCTATTGTTGTGTATGTGTTGTGTGTGTGTATGTGTGTGTGTAGTGTATGTGTGCAGTGTATGTGTGTAGTGTATGTGTTATCAGTATTGTGCGCAGTATACATAACTTTCTTTTTTTACAATAGCAGCAATTAAATAATGATTGTCAATGTGCTTGTGCAGTCGTAAATAGAATTTTCGCAGAACAGCAATGAGTAGTGTCACTTGGGTGCATATCAAGGTCAAGTATAGTAGGATATGACACATACATTCCATATGGAACAGCCCTTGCGTCAGGATTTTCTATTGCAGACATAATAATCACTTTATCTTCATAAAAGTCAAAGAAACAGGAGATTATGACACCACCAATAGAGGAGAGGGAGAGGGAGGAGGAGAGAAACGATTAGCTGTCATATGTTGCTCCTATATATGTGATACGATAGCTACCATCTCTCTTATGTTTAGCTTCTTTACATACAGATATACACTTCCCATCCCCATCTCATTCATCTATCCAAATGTGTGTGAGAAACTGAATTTAAAAAACTCGTCACTTTCCCTTTTCTCTCATTTACCCTCTTTTTCTATATGCTTCTATAAAAAGTAAGCCGATTGTAGGGTTATGCGACAATTACTTCATTCGCTTCATGACCCCCAAACAATTCCCACTCATCCAATCGTCTATCTGACATACCAAAAATACGCAAATAAAGAAATCTAAATGAACACAATACAACCGATTGTACTTTGATAGATAAATGCCGGTATCTTCCACTGCGAACGGACCACATCTTTGTCATATGTGGATAAGATTTGCAGAATGGGGTTGATTGTTGGGGGAAAAGACGATTAATAGGACAAAGTTTAAAGCATATCAGGGGCTAGCGAGGGTAAAAAAATTTGATTTGGGGGAATATTTTGATAGGAGGAAAGAAGCAAGTGTGCGAATGAGTACTTGAATGACAATAGGGTACTAGAATGACAATAGTGTGCTAGAATGACAATAGTGTACTAGAATGATGAGAGTACGGAAACAACGGAAACAACGGCAACAAGGACAAGGAAACGGACAAGGACAAGGACAAGTACAAGTACAGTAGCAACACAACAACTATTGCTGCAGCAATGACAGCAACAGAGAACACAATAACAATGACAGGGACAAGGACGATGGCGACGACGAGACAATAACGATAACGATAACGATAACGATAGCGATGACAACAACGACATTTGACAATGAACAAAAAAGTACAGCAATACGCATACTTGCAGTTTGTAGTCACATCTCAATAATGCACAAAGGAGAATTGTCCACTGCTTCAGATCGGTTTCTTGTTCGCCTTAAGCGGCACTTGCAAACAACGTGGATAGACAGATCAAGAAATGTATACGCAACCAAGCTATTTCCTCTCCATTGATAGAATAACTGATACAGGTAATGTCGCGCAGGCCCAATGTTCCAGAATGACAAAAATATCATAGTCTTTTTTCCTTTTTTTTTCTTTTTTTTTTTTTCTTCAATAGAAAATGCCATAAAAGTTCACGAAACAATAATAATTAACAATCAACGCACATGACGTCAGTGTTCTTTGTATTCTCTCGAATCAAAATTTTTATCGGATATGTACTATTCGATACATAGCAAGCAAATCACATGCAACTGTAATTGAATTCCTCACCCTTCATCCTCACCCTAACCACCTCACCCAATCACCCTCCCATCCAACCCAAGCCAACCCCCCACTTCGAAACAAACAAGGAACCCAATATTTTTGTTATTTTTTTTATTCATCACAAAAGTTCATTCAATTTGCCCTCATCCATTTCCCCCCTTCCCCCCATCCCCCATGCATGACGCACGGTCGACTACATGGCAATAATAATAGCTGTTGTTACTATTATTATTGTGACCTATATTTTTATCTTGTTCGATAGCTAGCTTGTGAGTAAATGAGCGAAATTGATTTTGCCAAGTATAGTCTAATAATTATTAGGACCTTCTCTCGCACACCCATTCTCACTAGTAATAATCGGGAAAAATAAAGAATAAAAAAGATTCTGTAACAGGACTGTACGCTGATATGATAATAACCCAACCCAAACCAAAACAACCGCAATATTTACTATTATATTGATGATAGACAAGCTGCAGCATCACGCCAGTACTATCGTCTGTCATACCACCTAAATGTACAAGGCAAAAGAAAGTTCATTTTGTATCTTGTGCATATTCACACAAATGTACAGCTCAAACAGCGCACCACACTTTGTGTTTCATTTATGTTGTTGTAGAAACTAATCAAATACTTTTATTGGGTTTTTTTTCCTTACTTTCCATCATTTAGAACATCAAACCACATTGCTCATTCTTTGTGCAAGTATTTGTATTACCTCTTTGACCTTTCACAAATATTATGAAAGACTAGCTCTTCGACGTAAGATATAAAGAAGCAACCATCGTAAATGCGTATAATTGTGGCATATAATCTAAGTAAAACTGTATATACAAGTTGTAAAGTTTTTTTTTGTTATAGAAAATGCGTAGGATAATTCATAAAACGTTCATAATTGAATTTTTTTAGAGAAAAAAAATAAAGGAGAATGAATATCGTTAAAGGGGGGGGGGGGAATGCTCGTTAAGAAATAAAATTTCTGAAAGAAAAAAAATGTACAAATTGCGGTAAAAGATATAACTATGTGAAATGTGTAACTAATAAAGACCCATCATCAATAGAATGAGGATGATTTTTTTTTTTTTTGAAAAAACGAATTGTCCATTTCCGAAGAAAAGTGAGTGATGTAGAATCACCCGAATAATAAAAAAAAGAGATAGGACCATAAAAACTGTCCCGTTTTTTAAATTGTCTATTATCCCAAAACCGCCTCGCCATGCCCAAACCAAAAAAGTGTATAGCCTTTATTCCATTGATCCCATCTCTACTCACAAAAAAAATTAAACCCATCTAAGTTCGCAATATCATTACACACCCACCACCCTTTCTCTCCCTTTCCCTTTCTCTCCCTTTCCCTTTCTCTCCCTTTCTCCCCTTTCTCTCCGTTCTATTTATCTATTTCATTTCAATGCAAATCCGAGTATCTTCTCCTCGTCTTCATGTTTTGCACCTCGGGCGAGCTTCTACATGTTTCTTCCATCTTAAAGTGCCTTCGTAAAGCATCCGTTCGTGCAAATGCCTTGTGGCAACATGGACACTGATATGGCTTGACACCCGTGTGCACTCTGATATGTCTCTGCAGATCGTGTTTCCTAGAGAATGATCGTGGACACATGGGACATTGATATGGACGAGCAGGTGAATGAGATCGCAAATGTGCTTTTAGGTTATATAATCGACTAAAGGTCTTTGGACAATCTTCGTGAGGACATTTGATCATTTGTTGCTGTTGCTGTGTCGGCTGCTGCTGTTGTCCATTTGCACCTGCGCCAGTTTGCGTTTGCTGCGGAGCTAATTGGGGAGACGATGATGATGATGCTGGGTCTATTGGAGACGTTACAGAGTTTGCGGCAAATTCGTATGGGAATGAAAGGCCACTCTGCGGCTGGAACGTATTCCGTGTCAACGCGTCCGGTGGCACCATTGCAGGCCAAATTGTAGATTGGTTGAGAGTAGGGACGAGGGGAGCGCCATCGTTTGTTGGTTCATAGATAATAAAGCGCATTTGATCCATGGATTGAGGTACTGTAGGGTTGGGTTCGAAGGGTGGTGGTTGATTGATTATGTCATAATATGAAGTTGTATATGGTTGGAGGTTGTCGGAGAACGAGTAGGAGGGAAAGTCGTTTGGAGGCATGGTAGGTGAGGTAGCGGAAGCAAAGCTTGCTTCGCTCGTACTGTCTTCTTCGCATAGCTGACTGTAGTAAGTGAGTTGTGGGAGTGTATTATCAAACTCGCCCAATAGTATGTGAGTCGGTGAAGAGCCTCCGCTGGAAACTGCCGAGTCGACATCCAATATGCTGCCATAAGCGTTGTATTCTTCAGACTTGATGGATGATATGCCACTGTCTATTGCTGACGAGGCATTTGAGGGCGAACTGTTGTTAATCTTGTTATTTGTCGAAGTAGAAACAGCGGCACGTTTGTTATTCGTCTGTTCGTTGAACACGAACGCTGCTCCATTCTGTTGTTGATTGTTGTTCGTAGACGAAACTGCGCACGTACTGACTTGTTGTTTCTGCGGGAAAATCTCCGACTTTAGGAAAGAGTCTGTCGAGTCGACGTTATCGAATGTGTTTTGGTTGAGGGCGCAGTTGAGACTGTCGAGCGATTCCATGTAGGGCATGTTAAGAAAGGTGTTTCCGGCTAGTGCTGTCATAGAGTGTGGGATAGAGGGATATATAGCGTTATCGATATAGATTGTGGTTGTATAGTTATTCAGAGTAATTGTCGTTGTTTTCACGTTGTTTTTCTCCTTGATAAAATTTAAGTTGTCTAACGGTGGTATGATTTTTTACCGTTGAGTGAGAAAGGTTCAGAGGGGGAGGCTTGGTTTATATATCTTGGAGATTATCAGTTGAGTAATAGTAAAAAAAATCAATAGATGCGTTGTTATATTGTGTTGCAATAAATATTAATTAATTTTTATGCTTTGAGTACAATTGAATATGTCAAATGCAAAACTGTTCCTCACCCGAGGTTTATATATAGTGTTTGACTTGTAGTATATAATAATTAGAGTAGTGTATTATTTATACAACAATTTATACGGGCCACAATATATATACATATTCTATTATTGATGTAGATGTTGATAGCACAAGCTTTTAAATACCAATGAAGGAGAATAAATAACTATAATAGCCAAATAATGTTATTATACTTTTTATACATGAGTCGAACATTATGTAAAAAGGGGCATTTCTCATGCAAAAAAAGAGGGTACATGTGTCAAGAATGTATCATCATTTATTTAGTGGTCGAAACCATGGAGAATTTATTACGAGACCAATGTCCCAATATAATCCAAGCTATCCTCGACCTGAACATTACTCATTACCATCAACGTTATCATGCATACGTATTTTCTTTCCATCTGGAATTTGCTTTTCTCGTACTCTTTCACCACCCCCCCCCCTCTCACCGAGTCATACATGACACATCGTCCATAGTCTACCTATTTCATCCAATCATCTCCGCACCCCTATTTATAGATTATATCTCGGCCTTTTTGATTATATGCTCTAGATCTTCCAGATGCTTCCGTCCAACCTTAACCGACTTGGGCCGAATATTCCTAAATGCTGACGTAATAGCTATAGTAATAATATTCAGCGGGTGTTTGATAGTGGGAAATGCGCGATGCAAGCCAGTACGAAACAGAGCGATAAGAGCAAAACGAACAAGAACAATATACAATGGACTTGTAATAATGAATGACCAATGGTAATAGGCGCCATGGTAAGGATACGAAATGCACGATAAATGACCATTAAATCAATATTAATATTAATATTTAACTTGATCGACACTACCAGCTACTTCTATTTGTCCCTTCCAATCTCGCCTTTCTGTCCCGAACCCTATTTATTTTATATGCTTGGCAATTGTTAATAATAGTTAATCCGCAACGACACCTTTCTCCTCATGCACGTAGTGTACGTGGCGAGTGTTCATTGAACGATGATATAATATTACGTATCGCATCAATCATTACAAAACGTTTTTCCCTTGTCATATGAAGAAGGAACTTGTGTATCTAGTATGTTACATGTAATGCACTCTTACTCCCCCCACCCCATCTTCTCCCCCTCATCCTCCACTTTTCCCCCCGCTCCCCTATTCCTCCCCTCCCCTCCCCTCCCCTCCCCTCTCCCTCCTTTCCCTCCTCCCCCATCACCCCAAATGATATGGCCGACTATTTGGATGAGTCATTTAATTGTTATGTAAAATAATGGAATACGATTTGCTATATCCAAAACTGGACGCTCACGAGGTGTGTGACGAGCAAATTAACACAGCATTAGAGTTGTTATTATTATTATTATTATCATCATCATCATCACCACAACAATAATCCGGGAACATAACAAAAAACAGAGACTGATAACAAATGGGTAAATGATAAGGGGGTGGTGGGGTGGTGAAACTTTTTTCCATTTGTGATTATCGGTTTTCATTCAACATTCTTTTGATGGGGAAATATTTCCCTACAGACGAATTTATCATCATGTACATAAGAAGAGAACAGGGTGATTAGAAATCGTTTGTGGGATGACGTAATTGATGACGACAACAACGATGATAATTCTCGGGATTATATAATATTATTACTTTTATTACTTTATAATATCCATAATTATTCTTCATAGTATATTCAAGAGAGACCTCGATCTATCCAGAAAGTTCATTCCGCAGAAATGAGCGACGAGTAATATGTTGTTCATCGTAAACTCGGTAAGGACCAAATACAAGTAATTACAACCAATTGCGAGTAAATGTAACCAAACACAGTCTAGATAGCAGTACTATGACCTCATACTAACCACAAAAAGTATGCGAAATGCAATAGTTACAACAAATAATATATGATTCGCAGACCAAATCCTGTTGGATCTACTATAGCTAACGGCCTATAATGGCATAGTGCGATACACACAATCCATCATTGTTGTGTCATTAATAAACTCGTTCCACTCGACTAATGCCAAATCCAATAAACTATGTGCAAATTAAGTATAGTTAGAAAGGAACTCTGTGAAGGAAAAGAACACGAAACGAAAAACAATTGGATACTGATGTCATGTAATTTCTCTCTTGCATTTGCGTATTGTCTGCCAAGACATTAAAACAACAATATAACTCTATTCATATTCATATATCTTTTTACCTACAAGTATCGTTTTAGTTTTTACAACCGAGGGTCTCTACCCAAGTAGGACAGAATGGTTGTCAGGAGGATCATTGGTGCTACTGGGAATGAATGGCACAAGGCAGAACGATATAATGTATATACGAATTAGGAAGTGTGAGAAGAATTGTTAGGAAATAAGTAGGCAGCAAAATATGCAGTCGCATCTGATGGAAATGCAATGCGTAGCAATAGAACAATCATGTCAGTCAAAAAGCACACATGTATTTAAAATATTAGCTAGCATTGACTGCTATTGATTGGCTTGACTATTAACTTTTGCTTGAGATAAAGACGACGAGACAATAAGCGAACAAGACAATAAGACAATAGGATAATAAAACAATAAGAGAGGGAGAGATCAATAGAAATGTAGGGCAAACAAGATAATATATTAATGATATAAAAAGGTTAATAAGATGTTATTAAATAACAGCAAACGTTCTTTTTTATAGTAACCTTAATCACTATTTTCGATTGCCAAAAACCTTATCCGAGAAACTTTGAATCGTATTAAACCTAATTAATTTAATATAACAGGTTTATTTATTAATAATAAACTACTTTATTGATGGCGACCCCCGAAACAGGAATACAGATATCTGTACACATACACTACATTCTTTTGCACACACTCTTGCACACACTCTTGCACACACTCTTACACACACTCTTACACACACACTCTTGCACACACTCTCTTACATCTACACACATACACACACATATATATACATATACACACATCACATACACACATCACATACACACACATACATACACATATACACATTATACAGATATACACATATACACATTATACAGATATACACATATACACATATACACATATACACATTATACACATATACACGCACTACCTCTACCTACAATGGGAATCCTATCCTCTTGTGAGGAATAGTAAAACTATGAGAGAAGCAGTGTACGAAAGGGGGGGGACTTGTGCATCAGAGACCAAGAAAGAATTTATATTCACCGATCATCCCTTCCGAGTCATATGATTCCCTTTCTCACATCGAGTCATCTAAATTTTCCTTATCTAACATACAGGAGAACATATGACTATGAATTCGAATTTTGTTCATTTCACATGCTTTTTTATTGCGGCTCTAGCATCGCATCGTTGTTGTTTTAGGTTGCCACTGTTCATCTGCACAGCTGCAATCATCAAACCGTTCGTTCACTGTTTGTATCGCTGCATTAGTTCGATGCTGCATGATTTCTGTCCATCTATAGATCCCTCATGAACGAGATCATCGCTGCAACGCAACGTGGTTAACGCGCGCAACACTTAATCGTTAAAATTAATATTGCAGCTAATCATTTGTAAGCAGACACAACACATATCCTTCTTTCTTTCTTTCTCAAGAGTTTTCAAGTGGGACAAATGGAACAAAGAAAATAAGACGTGGGTGGGAGAGTTGGGAGAAAAAAAAAGTATATTAATATTGGATACAATATAGTCGGACAGAATGTGTGTAAGTCCACTATTGTGGTGTGTAATGATAATAATTATTAAGATGCCATTATTAATACGCTGATGATATTGTGACATTATCAGTATATAACTTTATTATAAACTAGGCTAATAACGTCAGGTATGATATCATTTGTACCACATACAAACTTTGTTTATGGACAAGACAATAACATAGGAGACAATAACGCTGTAATCGTCCTTTTTCTTTCTTGTGTACACCTTGTATAAATTGGTTTGCATTGTAGTCTCACTCTACCCTAATAAACAAGTAAAGCAATGTCATAATGTCATCACCACTCGCATTTGAAAAGTGAAAATCGACATCCCATTAACTGTTTATAACTCCATTAATGTTTCATCTCGTCAACTCGGGATAAAACGATCATCGCAGCTAATGGATAACACAAATAAATAGCGTAATCCAACTGAAACATACTCCATATGTCAGTTCAACTATATGCTCATCTCGTAACGTGATGGTGGGTACGCACAGTCCTACGAAAGCAATGTCCTACCTAAATTGGCTTAATTACAAACAACCTTTTTAATTGGGGGAACGAAAGGAAGGGGAAATGTAGGGAAAGGCATGGATGGGCATGGATGGGCAAGAAAGGGCAAGAAAGGGCAAGAAGGGCAAGGAAATGCAAGAAAGATGGACTAGAATGTATGCAATGTATTGGAATTAATACAATATGTATTAACTAATGGCCTTTTTCCCGTTATTCTATTCGTTATCTCGCATTGTACTTGTATTTCTTTCTCGGGTAAACTCGTTCACGTTGTTGGTCTAACTTAACTGACTGTATGTCTATCAACTATAGTATAGATTATCAATTAAAGATGTAATTCGTCTTATCTTTATTATTTATACTCGCCTCAACTCATTTATTGATTCTGTGGTCCGTGTTACATGATGTCATGTACGACACGATGCTCGCTCTATCTTATCATTGTAACACCATTGCCTGAAGGGACCGACGTCATGTAACCATAATAATAACTGCTGGATCAAAAAAACTCGCCATCCTGATTGTGACATTTTTATTGATAATGTTTAAACACTTTTTCAATCAATATCCGAATGCACGTTTTGTGATAATGCAAATTGATTGGAATGTTATCAATCTCGTTTACCTACTGTATATTTACAATGAACCTTGTTCTCGCTTCTCTTTGATATTGCCTTTATTGACAAATCTCCGTGTTTCAGTAATATAAATTGTTTGCTTGACATGTCCGATACCCAACTAGTAACAAAAGTCTGCTATTACAGGGTGTGCAAATCGTTCTGGCTACAGAGTGTTAGTTGTCTGTTATACGACCAGTCCAACTACGGTTATCTTTGTTTTTTACATGCCATTTATAGTTAGTTGCATTTCTATCCCGCTCCCCTTCCCAAATGTCATGTCATTTCAACATCTAACTCGCCAAATAATATTCTGTAATTATTACTTGTAATTGTTTATTATGCTCTTTATCTGCCTGTGTTGCTAGTTAATTCTCCGGGCCAATCAATATCCCGCACTCTTCTTTCGGTTCTAACTTCGCGCGCCAAGAAATATTGCCTACTTTCTGATCATTATTAGCCACAACCAATCATCGGCATGCGATCAGTTACATAAGCCACTTTCGCCACCATTCGCCAAGCCAAGCTATTTTTATTTTTGTCGATCGATTGTTCCAAGGACTTTTTCTTTGGAACATAAGTGTTACACACAACTCACATAAGCAATAATCAATACTACAATAAACATCCTTATCTTGATGTCATTAGTGCATTTTATTCGCCGATGCCAAAATAACTGGAAGTCCGCAGTCCAAACTTATGGGGTGAGAACGGCCAAAAAAATAGAGGGTCTTGTGACGATTAAGTGGTGTGAATAAGATATATATTATTATTATGTTTATGCGGTACAAGTTGCCTAGTATGTAATAAGATTAGCGAAATCACTCCCCAACCATCACACCACCTAGTTCGAACTAATCGAATGACAATAAAAGCTTGTTCTTACCGACATTTCTCGGTTAGTTCCGAAAAGTAATTTACGTCACATAGCGACTGATATAGCAAACTGCATTCTATGATTATTACCATCACTATCACCAGAACTTTCGTCATTTTGTTAATGATTACATATATGTTTACACATTGCTTGTTGTTCTCAGCTGTCAGCTGACTTGTTATCATTTAACCGAATATTTTATATTCGAGATTTGTATTATATACCGAGCATTATACAACTATCGTTACACATTTCAACGAATGAATACAAGCTTTCCTGTCAATTTGTGCTAACATTTCAAAGGAAACGTTTTTATTATTTAAGGTATCTTTGCATGACAATACACGTCATATGGATGACAAATTAAGTTGCTTTCCTTTGTCTTTGACGGAAAAAATAATGAGCAAGGTTGTGTATACCACCGGAAAAACTTTTTCTTGAAATTTCCACTGTCTGTATCACCTGTATCACCTACCATGTCAACTCGACCAACGGAAGAAAGCTTTTGACCGATGTACGACGTCTCGTGCCAAACAATTTCCATGTATGGAGCAAATAAATAAAATATAGTAAGATCGCCCGTTTGGTATATCAGCTGACAAATAGAAGCAAAAGATATTCGATTATTATGTAATCGGCAACTTTCTAGTGCGAGAAACAAACATGCATGCAAATGAAGAAAAGACGAGAAAAACCCCCGGATCACGACATGAAGTGAGCACCTTAACAAACAAAAAGCACATTGTTGTAGTTGTACGATGAGAGGATGTTGTCATATTGTCATATCTTGACAAGGTCGATTGTTTAGCACGGGAAAAGTATATTTCAACACGGCAATCAATCACCCGTCGGAACCCACTTTGGTGACGGCGCGTTAAGTTATTCTCGGGGTTCGGTAATCTTTTTTCCTCCCCAACATTTTGTCAAATGTATACTAATAAACAGATACGTATATAGTCACCTGGTTGAGCGACGCATTGTCTTGCGCGACGCTAGCAACAAAAGAGAAAAGCCGTCTGGCAATCTATTGGTTGATTTTTTGATCAATGATACATACACGTACAATACTAATCGATCAATGGCTTTCCTGTTGTAAATTGTAAAGTTGACATATTCACTATGTCAAATAATTTCTCATTTGATGGTGAGAAAGACAATTGCTTTACATCACAACTAAATTTCCACCGAATGCGTTATCATGTTGAAAATTGATCGCGTTTACATTTGTTTGTTGAATTGCCAACTTGACGTTCTGGCTAGATATATCGAAAAAAAAATTGGACGCAATCAGCTATAGTTATCGGATCTATTTATATTAGTAGACAGTCTTCTGGTCAAGGTCTGTTTATAGACAGTTGACATTTCTGTTATTGATGAATTATATATTTTCTAATACCTCTTGTATTGTGACAAACTGGCTGGGAGAGGGTTTTGAGATTATTATCACTATAACGAATGTCGTGTACATTTTACGGTCGGCATGCCAGACGATTCAAAGAGTGAACCAATAAACTTGTTCTACTGTGTAAGAATGTTTATGTTTTTAAATACAAACAAAAGCTTCAAGTTCTAAGGGATGTCGTAGTTGATTCAAATTACAAAGTTTAATTCATTTCTATCAGCAAAATTCAAAACATTTGGGACAATTAATGGGTCTAAAAATTTTGTCCGTAATACTTTCCGAGGGTAATGCGTATATGGTTATCGGGAGAATATCAATTTTAGACACCAGATTTAAAGCATGATGATTCTATGCGCTTCTCTTTATTGAATTAAAGCGGATTACTAACTTTAAAATCAGGAAAAAGTTTTACAAAACAAAAGCGCTTCATCATATAGCGCATACCTTTATTGTATTAGTATGCCTTTCCCTAACATCAAAATTTGGCCGTGATCTACAGTTAAGGCTATCCGCAGGTAAGCACCTCAGAGACTATACGTGGAACCTTTCAAAATGAAGAGACAGTCCAACCTAGCTATCAGATCCCAAACCATATATTGTAATGGTGTAAACAAAGCCCGTTTGAAAAATATGTGCAAGCTTCTGTACGTTCACTAATATAAAAGGCTTGAAAATTGTATTGGTGTACGTTCACTATATAAAAAGCTTGTTTTTTTTTTCCCTAAAATTTTTTCCTGAATCTTGTCTTACTCTCATTTGATTCTGCTCTTTTAATTATTTATATCCATACCATTAATAATAGCGTTGCATTTTTATAGAAGGTATTATATGAACACTAAAAAAAAAATACATATTCTTTTATTACGCATAAATGATAGCCAACATAATCACAATCACACATGTGTCCATTCATTCAACTGAACTAACGATAATGTCTCCGTACGCAACGTCCTGACTCACTTTCACTAATCCTTTTGAAGCAAGCGCTATAAAATGATATGCGTTTATGGGTTAAACACCTTAATCATATTTTTAAAATTGTATGTCATTGCTTACCTAATATATGACCAAATAACTTGGCCACAGTGGCCTTTTTCTCCCCTCTCTCTTCTACCACCTGTTGTAGTATAAACCGATTGTCGTTTGCCGATCTTAAGACGCTATTCAAGTATACAATAGCTTCGGTTTCAGAGACATTGTGAGAGTGTGACTGACTATCTTGGTCAGTTGGTGCCATACTGACAGCCGAGGCTTCATCGTTAAATTCATCTTGAAAATAGAAAATATGCAACACAATAAGACAGTGTTGGGTTCTCTAATGAATATACAGTAAATTCATCGTCACGCACGTACCATCGAAAATTGGAAAGTCTGACATATGCATGTCTAAGCCATCACCAAATGACGACGCTCCTGCATCAGATGTGACGGCCGATCGTCTGCGATGGTTTAAACCTATTCTTCGTAGTCGACTTGCAAAGAGAGAACATGTGAGCATCTCTGCATATGTAAGACAATCTCATTATATATATATATACCCATCTACGCTGCTCACGTCCGAAGGGAAATCACGACTTCCATTAGCGGTATCAACCGAAGATCCGTGATCGAGGTGATCTATGCAAAGATCGATGCGATGCGATGCGATGTTAATGCTACGCATATAATACTCATAGGAGACTTTACTTGTGGTATCGTTACAGTTACTCTAGGTTTATTAACAAAACTCTGTTGTTCTACTTACCGCCAAAGTCAGGGATGTCATCCACATCAATGCTCGAATTATTTTGGCTTATTCGAAGTGCTCGCCGAACGTGTTCCGGTTCTTGGGTCAGTGGGTTTACTGTCTACTCAAAATAGATGCTAAGACCCCTCTCAAAGCAAGAGAACTAATACGACAGTAGAAGTCAATTTTACCTGAATTATGTTTTCAGAGTCTTCTGGTGGTGGAACGTTGTCTAAAATTCGCTTGTGTGAGATTAGGTTTCTCGATATTAGATTGTCTCATTTAAATGCACCTCTTACTTGCAGTTGCAGTCCACAGTCTATCGCTGTATGCAAGGCGATCTTGGTAGTTCAATTACAAGGCTCGTTAGCATACTAAAAGTCGAATAGAAACCAACGTATTCTCGAGCAACTCTACCATTTATCATGGGCGTACAATGATTTTCCCAAAATGTTGCGAGTTTTGGGTGGTTTACTAGTAAATATGATCGAGCAGTTAATTGACGCTATATCGAGTTAACCATATAAAACACTATATATAGACGGGTAATACACCAGCCTTTTACAAACGGCGTATTTAACAGCTTGTCCATATGTAATCGCAACTTTTTTGAAATTTTCTGCATTAAATAAATAATTCAAAATAAGCACTGTCGTGTTATTATCTTGTTCCATATAAAAACAATATCCAGGCCAAACATGCCTTTGACCTAGCGATACGCTGAGCCTTGTCTAAATCACTTGAATAACTATTTCGCATAAGAATAAGCTCGGCCATTGTAAGTTCATTAGGATCATCCATTAGACTTCTTCGACGTTTCTGTCGACGCGTTGGTTGAGTTGATGTTTGCAATTGCAAAACTTCTGCTGATTGAGACTGTATAATAGGGCAGAAAATGGAGATATATGTTAGCTGTGCCTGCAATAATTATAAGTGTATGGTATCTATTAATAGATATAGTAAATATGCATATACAACGTCATCCATCATTCTTTCATCATCGGCTTCACATTCTTCATTTCTACTTTCAGACCCATCAACAGTTTCCTCAGTTTCTCGCTCTCCCCGTTTCACCCTTTGTTTTTGCCTTCTCCTGCCATTTTCATTATCATCCATTCTGTAGTGTTCTTCAGCAACTTGTCTGTATATTTCTCCAAGCGCTTCTTCTCCGACATCCATCATGATATCTGCATCTCTGTTGTCATGTTCATCGGAAATGTTACGGTCATATAGCGTTCCGTTAGCGTCAAAGGTTATCTGTATTCTATCCATATCATCTGACTGTAATAAATCATCTTGCATGTCGATAGTTGAAAGAGGAAACACCGAATGAAGGGTGGATGCAGGAGAGAGTGTGGCAGTCGAGGAGAAAGCATTACGAATATAGGCTTGATAAACGCGAAATGGGACGCGAAATGGAGGGACAAAGAAAAGTAAGACAAAACAGATAATCGAAGAGAATAACGCGATCGAATTGTTAGTGTAGTGGGTATACCTTCATGATCGATGGACTGAAAAGTCAAGAAATCTGGAACCTTAACATCGAATATGCAAATAAGAGATCCATTGAGGTTAATACCCATTTTACTTGAGTTTTTGTCATTCTAGTAGCACTCACTGTACTGAGATTCGATAACGTCATTTCGATTTCAAAGTCAGGATCATCTGCAATTGTGATTGATTCTTGCCTAGAAAATTATTATATTCGTATTATTGTTTCTGTTGATATTTGTATGACGGGTGTTAATGAAACTGACCTGGCTTCTGTCAATGGCATGTTTACTACTTCATTGGTTTCGAGAGATACAAGATTTTTTCGAAGTCGACCCCAAACATTGTTTACTTCAGCTATTGGGTTTGAACGCGACATTACATTACTATTACGACAAAAATTCTCAATTACAATACAGTAAGAGTATTTATTTACCATAATAGAATTGATATTGTTGGTAATATATTCTTGCTATACCGACCATCAGATTGGACGTCAGTCTCAAAGCAAGAGGCTCTGGCGGAGAGACAATGTAATTGCTAGATGAAGGTAGCGGGTTAATTGGCTCTGTGGGTTTTATTCAGTAAAATTGTTTGCAATCTGTAATAAAATTACCAAGCTCTTATTAAATTCACAGAGTTAACATCCTTCTTGGACAGTTTTTTTAGAGTAGATCGTGATCCAATTGTTGCCGCCAACCTGTCGCGCATATTTCAAGTTTTCTATGAATCAAACCATTATTATAAAGACAATTGATTTTGCAACGAGCCAACCATATGATAGCAAATCCTCCTGATTTGTGCGTTAATATATCTTTCGAATAGAACATTGTAGACTGAAAAACGTAAATAGGGCGTATTCTACTCAGTGAGCATATATATATTGTGTATCTGAGATTGAACATTAAACTACGATAATGCATTACAAGTATGAGTTTGATTATAAATAAAACTGTTGCATTGCAATTGACTAAATTAATTTAACATGGGGGAGACCGAATGTGACGCAACAAACTAGCGACAGTGATTGAAGCGTATTTCAGCATTTATTCACGACGCGGGACCTTGAAACTTAAAGTCACGAATACGTCGAAAGAGAGTTGAGAATATTTTACATTATTATTTTTATTACTCATACTAAAAACATATGACGATATTGACCTAACTCAGGGGGGAGATCTTTTCATTCCGTGGCATGAGAACATGCAGTCGAATAACGTGCTTACTGTTCTATGTCGGGAATACATATAAAGCTTGTTACAATTTATCAAAATGGCTGCTCACTTGCTTGAAGCATAGTGAATCGGTTGTGGCTTCGAACGTAATTCATTATGGAATAGCGACCTAGACATATGGATTTGTACAGATTGTTGTACCGGATATATAAACGAATTAAATCGTTAACCGTTATTATTATGAATACTATACATAATTTCATATTCAATTTTTGTGTTTCGCTCATAGCCAGCGGGAGGAATATATCATTATTTAAGATTAGTCTCGCAAAGAGATGGATAAAGATTTGATTATCACGATAAATTAATTAAACCATGTATTGTATCTTATCTTTCTTAAAGATGATCGAACCAATAAATATATGTCTAACAAAAATTGACATTTCAGTTGACGGTTTTCTTTTATCGAAAACGTATACTAGTCAAACTCGATAGACGGGCTGTGGTAATGGTTTAAGCTACAGCGATTTTATTTATCGACCAGACAATGAATTAGATATTTTACTGCGTTTATTCTTAATAGAAGGACCGGCAGTGGCATTCATGGTTTTCGAATCAAGAATTAAGATTTTGGTAACACTTATTCTTTAAATGGCAATCATTTAATTTAAAGAGTAAATCTTTCACTCATCGAGGTATTCGACTTATGGAGGTTCATTTGTTAGAAGCGTGAGAGAATCCTCTTTATCTTACAGTTTCATCGAGGGTTGTAATAAAATTTATATTATGGAGGTATTTTTAGTACAAAAAATTCGGGGCGGAAAACCTTTATTTTATCGAGTTTGACTATGTATTTACATATTTGCACCAGACAATTTCCACTCGATTTTGAATACGTGGCATATTAACTGCGTAAAACGCACATTCGTCTACTTCGCTGCGGCACCATCAACTAAAGGTTAAACAGTAATGTTTTTATTTGGTGTATTGAATTACAAAAATTCCATTCGTTGTTCATTTAAATTGTTAATTATGAAACCAGATCGTAATCTATTTGCGTTACTTTCTATGTCATACCGATGTTACAAGACTAAACCTAAAACAAACAACACTGAATACCTAATTCGTACTTTATTCATTTTCTGAATCGTCTATCATATATTCTCATTGTTTGCGGATTGCAAATTTAGATTTTTAGAAATTTCCTTATAAAAGTAGTTATTCTCCGAACGACTCGCATAAACCCTGCATTTGTTCAACAACCATGGCAATGTTTGATTTAAACGACCAATTGAAGCAGTTTGAAGAAGAATATGGGAAGGAGCGCCGATTTTGCTCTAAAGAAGAATTTCTGGCAATCAATGATACGCCAAACAAAGATGGTCTTCCCAAAAGACTCTGCAATTTATACATAATATTCGAAAAAGAATATATTAAGATGATTAAAGAACAAGAAAATTTTGTCCATACTACTGGAGGAGGACAAATGCTTATCAAACGGGCGGCGGAAAAATGGAAAACCCTCGAACCCTCCCAAAAGCGTATATACGAACTTGCGGCTGAAATAAGAAAAGAAATCTTCATGAAAAAGAATCCTAACTACAAGTACCAGCCAAGAAGTAAAACGGCGCGATCAACTGTGTTAGAGTCTCCCTCCAGCGAAATTATCAATAATCAGAATATTGGACAGGCTATGGTCGAGAATGACGGGGACATACGTGGCCCTGCCGCTGCTACCACATACAACGACGATACTACTGCTACCACATACAACGACGATACTACTGCTACCACATACAACGACGATACTACTGCTACCACATACAACGACTATACTACTGCTGCCACATACAACGACTATACTGCTACTACTACTGCTGCCACATACAACGACTATACTGCTACTACTGCTGCTGCCACATACAACGACTATATTACTACTACTGCTGCCACATACAACGATTATATTGCTACCGACTATATTGTTGATTTTTATTTTAACAATTGCTTCCTTTTACAAATAAACCCACACCCAGAAGTTGGATCTGATATTATTCATAGTAATACTATGCATTTGTCACCTTTTTCTTCCACATCCTTTATGTTATTGTCTCCATCATTATTCCATCAAAACAGTTCGATGACTTCGTCTTTGCCAGGTGTTGAATCTTTCATGATTGTTGAACAATCTGAAATCTGAATTATTGAAATGTTGTTGAAATTTACATGTAATGAGAAGATATCATTTTATCTCGAGAAACTTAATAAATAACTCTTGTATCGATATCATTTGATCGAATGCTTGAATGTTCATGTTGGGTTTGATTATTCAACTTTTGATGATCTCACCAATTTGAGAGAACACAGCTAACGTTACTCATAATCAGGACGATCTCACTATTTTGAGAGAACACAGCGTAGAGTGTTACAATCATTCCGACTTCAACTTGTGTAATGTTTCGCAATAATCGATATCAAGTATCTTATTATAGGGCTTCATAGCTCTCTGTGTCCTTCCGGAACCGGTATATGAAAAGTTTATAAGAGACTCCGGTATAAACAAAGAATTTTCATAACAGTGCGCAAGAATCAGTATAAAGAGGTTCCGGTATAAACAGAGTTGACTGTATATTACACAAGCCGTTTGATAAAGTACGACATTGATTTCTGCGCCGCTGCCATGTCCTTGTTGCAGCTGAAGCTGAAACCAACCAATGGGATTAGAGAATAATGAGATCGTCAGCATCAGCATTTATACGATCTTTCGCGCTTTTTCATTTATTAAATTTCTTTCGATATCATAAACTGTTACTAAAGAAAGCTCTATATTTTATGTATATAAGACGGAGTATGGATCAAAATTTAAAGTCATTCCAAGCACAAGTAATTGCGTATATACTTCGCTTATACACCAATTTCCAACGCTTAGGCCAGATACTACTACATTCAGTAATATAAGAACCCAACATTTTTGTTTGGGGTATAAACTATGCACATTTGATATAATGATATGCTTTCGAAAAAAAACGTAATATACTATTACGCTCACTTAGTGCTATTGCAACATTGTATTTCTAAAAAATTGTGCTGACTTACAATACAACTGCGTGTGGTTTTAATTCTATGGCTCCGATGTTATCTCAGCTTTATCTTTCACTCTATATAAAAACGCGTATTAATTCTTACTTTTTTCCAAGTGTCTTTCAAATATCTGCTACTATCATCGTTACATCTTATCTACTACACATACGCGTATTTTACATCTACATAATGAGCGAAGTCGCTGAACAAGTACCCGAACAAGAAGATCAGGAAGAGTCGGAAGACGAGGTACAAATGTTATTGTTCAAGCAGAATAACAATTTACGCATCTTTGCGATGTCGTTGATAAGAAGTTATTATCTCGTACAATTGTATTGGAAAAAACGCTTAACTTGATACACACATTTAGGAACTCTTTTATACCGAGATAGATGAGTTGCAAAACCATGGTATTAATGCTGCTGATATTCAAAGACTCAAAGCAGCTGGCATCTGTACGGTTCGAGTGAGTTGCTGTGTATCATTGTTTATGTTAACTGTTCAGAATGACGCGACTGAATTGATTCAATATACTTTGTCTATTACAGGCAATAACAATGACAACCAGGAAAAATCTATGCAAGATTAAAGGATTCTCAGAAGCCAAAGTCGAAAAATTTAAAGAAGTCGCTTCAAAACTCCAGGTCCTTATCATCTGTGCCATATACGCGTATATGCTTTTATAATGCACGAAAACATGCAAAACTCTCATTCCCAATGCATTGTCATTAGAGTTCAACTTTCATTACAGCCACAGAATTCTATCAGATACGCGCCAAGGTTATGTACATATCCACCGGAAGTAAAATGTTAGATGGCGTACTAGGTGGCAAGTATATACGGTATTATCAATATCCATAAATAGCAATTAAACACGTAAAGTTGACACCAATTTCTTCAAAGGAGGCGTGCCCACTATGGCAATCACTGAAGCATTTGGCGAATTCCGCACTGGGAAAACTCAAATTGCTCATACGTTATGCGTAGTCGCACAGTTGCCACCATCAATCGGAGGAACTAATGGAAAGGTTGATGCCTATTACTCGTGTTTTCTTTTGACATTACGATGCTTAACTTTGCTGAATTTACACTTTATCGTTTGTTTAGGCTGCATTCATCGATACCGAGGGTAGACTAGTCCTTGAACAATTTTTTCCTTTTCTCTAACTTTTCACTAAAAAAAAAAAAAACATGTATACTGTCGTTTGCCAGGAACCTTTCGTCCCGAGCGAATAAAGGCAATTGCTGCAAGATTTGGTATTGATCAAGATGCTGCGCTCGAGAATATCCTATATGCTCGTGCATATACTTCTGAGCATCAAATGGAATTGATCGTAGAATTGGCCGCTCGGTTTTCGGAAGAGAAAGGAATATACCGACTGCTTGTAAGCCATTCTCAAACACACATTCGCAAACAAATTTAAAAGATTTTTTACTAATTATAATAATAAATCTCGTAGGTCATTGACTCGATCATCGCACTTTTTCGAAGCGACTTTTCGGGTCGGGGTGAACTTGCTGAACGACAACAGAAACTTAATATGATGTTGAGTCGACTTGTTAAAATCGCCGAAGAGTTTAACGTCGCTGTTTATATTACTAACCAGGTATCATCAAGTGATATGTTTCAATCATACGAAATTTAACCACTAGCAGGGTTTAAAGTATATTCTTGTTTACCAATATAAGGTCCAATCTGATCCTGGCAGTAGTATGATGTTTGTCAGCGATCCCAGAAAACCTATTGGCGGGCACGTTCTAGCTCATGCGTAAGTATACCACTTGTTAAATCTTTTCTGTTAAAGACTACCAGATCTTTTCACGCGTCACTACTTTGCGACATAGCTCTACTATTAGATTATATCTTCGGAAAGGACGCGGTGAAGAACGTATTGCCAAAGTCTACGATTCACCGGACATGCCCGAAGCTGAAGCACGTAAGTTCTACTTCACAAAACTATACTTGTAATACTTTTTTATTATCTTACGATCTATATAAATACTATTTATACATGTTTTAACCCTCGTTATCCTCCCGCTTCACCCGGTCTATTAGCATATACAATCTCCGGGGGTGGGATTATCGACAGTTCCAGCTAAAACATCGACAACATAAACGGCGTTGAGCGCTACATCGCTGCGAAAAATTAAGCTGTACAACTGCAGCAAAGCTTATTAAAAAACTCTATAATGAGCGAACATAATGCCGGTTACAACAAAGCAATATAACTTCAGTCTATGAAAACAACTGTCATAGCAATATGAACAATTAGCAAGTGTAATGAAATAAAATGTTTCTTCTTATTTTATCTCTAATCTTCAGAAACGAAATCATCATCGTCGTCATCATCGTCGTCGTCCGAGTCATCTACGGTAAACATGTCATCAGAGTTTCGTGCATTCGTCAACTCAACAAGTTTGGGTGATGATGGTTCGAAAGATGATTCGCTCTTCTGTGGTGAAGGAATGTCTAAATCAGTGTCCTCGTCTGCATAGTTAACTTTACGGCGAAGTCTACATGAACGCGTAGGTCTACTCGGTCCTGCTCCGTCGTCGTAATCGTCGTCATCATCATCAACTATTGAGACGCGCTTTCGTTTGTTGTTGCTGTTACGAGTAGTTCGGCGCGCAGCCGATTTAGGAGTCTCGACCACGCGATTTGGTTTGCTTGATCTATGAATAACAATGACAATTTAATACTATAAATCGAACAAAAGAATCAAAGTTACAATTAAAGACGTGAGATAATTTACTTGTTTTTTGCCTTTCCTTTCCCCTTCTTTTTGCGTTTTGATCGGCTTGATCGTATGCGTGAACGAGCCGGCGGCGCGTACTCGGAGTCGTCGTCAGACACAATGAATGAACCTTCCGAACCTAGTAATGATATTGTGTCAACTTCCACATTCTCCCCGTCTCCATCGGTATCTGTAGAGTTGGGTGTAGTGAACCCTGGCTCATATTCGGGATCTTCATCAGAATTCGGTAGAGGCACTATCGGTTCTTCGATGGCCATTGGATCGACTTCTTCGACTTCCTCCCCTGAATCTTGTTCCTGATGCACTCGAAGACTCCTACAAGTGATCAATAAACACGAAAACATGAATACAGTCTTTTAGTATTTGTTTAATTCCAGAATTGACGTTAATACTATCAATACTATTCTAATCATTTCTCAATAATGCTCTTGTCATCTTATTGCTTACCTTCGTCTTTTATATAGTTCCTGTTTACTCATAATGCTAAGTGCAACACCGGTCGATTTGAATAGTGCAAGTTCGGCCTTCAGCATTTGACGACCGATTCTATCTTCACGTGACACTTGTGCAGGTAATACACCCGGAAGATCGACCCCGAATGATTCCGGTTTCTGTTGTGCATATTCTACTCCGCCCCAATCCAATACTGGCCCACGCGGTAGCTCGTGCGGCGGCTGGCTTGTCCCAGCATCTATTACCACGCCATCTTCTAGTAACAGATCCTGATAGTCATATCTGAACTGTTGTCCTCTCTCACATCGATCGTCATACTTTTTGTGTAATTTAGTCATTCCTAACTCATATAAACGGCATATACCCGTCGAATCGGTAACTGCAAAAGCGCGACCGTCTGGTGAGAAACGGCCATCC